CGGCGGGGGGGCTGCTGTCGGCCACACAGACGAGGCGCACGGAGTCCCCTTCCAGCACTCCGAGAGACCTGCTGCTTCCCAGATAATCTAGATATTTCCATGTGTGGGAGACAGAAACAGAGAGACAGAGACGTGGGGACCGGGCTGGGATAGTAAGAGACAAAGTAGCTGAGACCGCTGGGAGATCCGAGAGAAATAAAAACGGGGTGGGTGGGGCAGAGAGAGAACGATGACCTGTCTCCCCGCCAGTTATTTCGGGCTTTTTTGTTGTTGTCGTGAGGCGGCGGTAATTTTGCAAGCAGGTTTATAAAGATTAATTCATATACCATGCCATTTGAGCCTAGATTTTATGGGTGTTTTTTTTTTGGGGGGGGGTATTTGTTGATGTCCGCTGACATGCAATAAAGCATTGCTGTGGCGTCACCGACAATGGCGACCCTGATGTGTCACAGAACAGAAGGGGGCTCCATGGGGTTTTCTGGATAAAAAGGGATTGCCAGGCCTTGCTTCCACCGCACTGCTTGGCGGGTGGGGGGATCAGTCAAGTGCACATCCAGTGGGGACACCCAAGTGTCCTTTCCGAGCACCGAAAGCTTTTGGGTCTGGACACCGCCTGACGTGAACACCAACCCCCCCAGAGTCTGCTTCAGCCTGTTGGCTGCACCCCAAGAAAAGAGTCTCTGGACCCACTAAGCAGTCCCTCCCTACTCCCACCCCCATGGCGGCAGCCCTGAAAAACAACTGCCCTCCAGCCGACCCCGAGGCCTGGCCACACCACAGAGTGTCACTGCCTGACTTTGCAGGAGGGGACGCCAGGCCTTTGTTCCTTGGCACCTCTGGGTGAGGCTGGAATCCCTAACCTTCCAGTCCACCACCGAGTGCCTTAACTCTTTGCACCAGGAAGGCCCTCCCCTTTTCTCCCCCGAACCAGAAACCTGCCCAGCAGTCTGATCTTTTCGATCTCAACCCCTTTTCAGACCATAGCCCCACGCGTGGCACCAGCCTCTCCACCCTCATCTTTTGTTTGTGCTGTTTAGTTTTGCTTTGAATGCTTTCTGGGCAGTAGAAAAGATCCAGCTTTCTCCAGCAGAGCGGCTGTTGGGTGGTTTAGAACTGCAGACCTTGCGTTTAGCAGTCCATGTGTCATGCCGCCCCCCCAAGGCTCCTATCTATCACCACCTCCGTCCCCTAATATGCTCAGTCGGCCACGTGTGTAGAGGCGAACCTTTCCAGCACGGATCACCAGGCCTTGCTTCTGAAATTCCTCTGTGTGAGCTCAAACCACCAACCTCCCCTCTTGTAGTGAAACCTTCATTGTTGTTTGTACCACCCACCCACGGCCACCTGGCCCCTATTGGATCTGCAGGTGATCTGACAGCTTTCAGGGCCCCCCCCACCTCCTTGGGCTCACAGCCACAGGAAATGGGGGGCTCCCGTCTTACCCATGCATTCTCCTCGGAGCAAGCCGATGGTCAGGTTCTGGGGTGCATCTGCCAGAGGAAATGGGGTGAGGGTAGCGTTAGAGGGCCCTTGGGGGGTGGAGTTGGGGGGACAGACAGAAACAGAAAGTGGAAGGAGGCCTGTGTCTTTTCTCCGCTCTGCCCACAGACAGCCAAGGCGCCCTAGACAGGCCCCCTCTCCCTGCCCACAAACACACTCACAGGAAACGTTGAGCGTGATGGTCCCTTTCTGCGGTCACCCCAAGTCGGGGGAAGGTCACACGACAGGTGAGGTTGGTGCCGTGGTCCTGTGGGCTTGGGGTCAGCGTGACCACCGAGAGGTTAGAGGTCCCTGGGTGGGGTTCCTGGGACCTGAGGGCAGGACCTGCCCAGGAGAAGGCCAGTGGGGTCCCCCTGTCACAGGCCGAGGGCACAGAGCAGGTCACGTTGCTTCGGTGGCCAGAATCCAGGGAGCCCGTGATGGAGATGGGGACCAGCCTCACCGCTGGGAGGAGACAGGAGAGAGAGTTGGAGAACTGAAGAACCGGCAGCGCTGAGCAGCATTTCGACCATACTTGCTGAGGTCGCCTAGTGGCTGTGATGCGTTGCCACGAGGGGACCCCCTCGAAGCGTGGGATCCGACCTTTGTGATCCACAGGGTTTTCCAGGGACTGCTTTTCTGAAGTAGATTCTCCAGACCTTTATTCCTAGTTTATCTGAATCCAGAAGGTCCTTTGAAACCTGTGCTCAGGCATCATTGCTAGACCCAGGCCTCCACTGACAGACAGACAGCCCGAGGGGCATCAGCTGGGGATTGAACCCCAGGTCTCCCCCGTGGAAGGGGAGAGTTCTACCACTGAGCCCGCACTGCCCACTTGGAAAAGATTTGATATTGTTTGTCCAGTCAGTCCCAACTCTGGGCGCTCCAGGTGTGCAGAGGAGACCCAGGCTCCACAGGGTTTGCAAAGCTGTGACCTTTCAGAAGGGGATCACCAGGCCTTTCTTTCAAGGCTCTGGGTAGGATTGAACCACCAACCTTTTAGCCAGTAGCTCAGCACTTAACTGTTTGCGCCACCCAGGGACTCAATGCCAATGAACGGTATGTGCCCTTTAAGCCAAGGAAAGTGGTCCGTTTTATGGATAGGTCTTTTAGTATCTTCCCCTAGCCCCCCTGCAAAAAAATAATTGTTATTTAATAATAATAATTAAACAACTCAGAACTGGGAGGTGAGAATGTTTGCCTAATTCGAAGGGGTGTCAGCATCCTCACTGAATGGGACGTGTGGAGACCGTGAAGCTGATGCGGCTGTGCTAATGCTCAAAACAAAAACAAAAAAAACCACCCCACAATATCACGACCCTGTTTCTGAGAGGAGAAGCAGTAGATGGTGCCCGGCCATCACCACCACCAGCTCAGAAAGGGACCATATTCCAGGCCCCCGTGTAAGAGTGCGAGGACAAGGTGGAACAAAACTCAAAGGTCGGAGGCCCAATGCCCATCTCTAGACAACTGGACATACCTTGCAGATCATGAAGGGCCAAAGGGACCAGGCTTCAAAC